CCTCCCTGAAGTAATTACTTTGAACAGAAATGCTGCAATGAATGGACGAGAATGCGTAGCAACCATGTTATCGGTTGCAACAGACTACAACGTAATTCTTCAAAACAAATTGAAAGCGATGCAAACTTCTGAAATCAAATTCTATTATGCAGACATATACACACCTCTTCTTGACATGATTCAATATGGAAAAAGCAAACTTGGTAAGTTTATAAAGTAAAACATATTAGTGTGTTTGCTTGAAGATAATTAAAACCTACTAAAATGAATTTTATACCTTGATATATAGGTTTTGAAGAGGTGAGTACCGGATGTTGTGGAACTGGATATATTGAAGCATCAATACTATGCAACATGAACTCAGCTATATGTGACGATGCATCAAAATATGTGTTCTGGGACGCTGTTCACCCAACGGAAAAAGCTTATTACTATGTATTTACAACCATCCGTCCGGTGGTTGATACAGTCTTGAATGATTACTAAACTAAATTAAATGATTTAATTATTAAACAAGATGGTAGGTCTCTAGTTTCTTTTTAAATGCTTGTTAATGTGGTGCTTAGTGTTATAATATGTGTATGTAATATATCCGGCCCACTCTCGGTTTGCATAACATTTTGCTGTATACCATAAGTTGTCTAAACGATCCTATTTTACCACAATGCATTGAACTTATTAGAATTAATTTAATTGATTAACACGCCATCTCAAGAACAAATTATATGAATTGAAACACAATTAATCAAACAAAGTCTTTGATTAAAAGGAAAATAACTCAAAATCTTTGTGTTACAATTGTGAATTCTTAATCCTAAGACACGATTAACACATGTATATATAGATCTAATTACCGCCTTGTATTAGACTATAATTAGGAAACTAAGAAACGACTTATTCTATTGTTTCCATAAAACTGATTGCTTGTTCACCAAGTGTTTGGATCCCATGACTATAGGATTCCAACAATCACCCCCGAATCCCTAAGTCCTTCTAAAGACGTCTTTGATCCTGATCAAGCTCCGAATCTCTTTGAACTTGGTACGAGCCAACGGTTTCGTGAGAATGTTCGCCTTTTGTTTCTCACCGGGAATGTACTCTACCTCCACCTGTTCGTTTTCAATACATGTAACATCCCAAAAATCATGATATAATTTTTTTTTGTTTTGTTTTTAGATTGATAAATCGTTAATACATGTCTTTCCCATAAACCAGAGTAATTAAGTTTTAGTAAAACATCGACAAGTCAGAATAATTCACAGAAAACGGAAACACGTGGTGTGTGCTCTGCAATCATGAGCCATTCCATTTGAAAATCGGAGTAACTGAAACGTAAATTGAAAACCGTAAGCACAAAGCTTAGTGAGTTTCCCAAAATACCATACATCATACAGCCACAGATTATCCTATGACATACATACACATAGTTGCCATGCCTCCCCCCCCCCCCCCCCCATGGTCTTTATCTGGAATGACATAGGCTCCCCCCATGGTCTGACTTCCAAGTACCACGGGCTACCGTCAGGGTCTTACATGCAAGTATCACAGAGAGAACTAGCATACCACATAACACGTAACGGGTCGGTATTGGTGCCTTCGACCCATTGATATAGTGAGAAGACTTACATCGTACTGCCGAATTAGACAGAAAATCCCTAGTTGCTTGCTGACAGATCCCCGAACTATCAATGTTAAAACAACACCCAATCAGCAATTGGGTTCCAATCCATAACCATAAACCACTACTAAGGTAAATGACCAATTTACCCTTCACCTACTTTTGGACTAAGACTTAGGCCCAAACCTAATAATCCACAAGGCGCAAATACCAAAACTACTCAAGGCCCAATCTGTGGCCCAATTTTCCAAATTGGGCCCAAATCCATAGTGGACCTCCACAAATAAATATCAATCCAAAACCTGATGGCCCAATAGGGCCCAAAACAACAAAGCCCAAAAGATGGCCCAACCCGAAGCCCAAAAACCGAAATCCCACATTGCTGAGTACGTGGGGCGTACTCAGCTTGTACGCTAAACGTATTGGATTAAGAGCTTGTATGTGGCATGTACAGGATTGTACGCCCAGCGTACTCCTCCTGTTTGACCAACTCTCAATTCTAGCTCTTATTACATTCAGCCAAAACGTCCAAAACCTCAGGATAGCTAAATATAAGTGACTTGATCCATAAAGTCGAAGGCTTTAAGCCTTTGCATGGCTTAATGAAGCCCAATCATTAAAGATGAACTCAAAAAGGTCAAAATCACTTCAAAAATGTCTTAAAACTTCTTAATACCTTAGGACGTAAGTCCAAACTTCAAGATCTGATTTCAAGGGACTTCTTAAGTCATAAAGTTTCCAACATTATGACTTAGCATAACTCAATAGGACCCAAATCAAAACCCTAAGTCCCAAACTTCATCAAATGACTACCAAATCATGCATGGATGGTTAATACCCAATAAGATCCAAACTTTATGACTCTATAACCCCAATAAAGGCCAAATATGAAGCTCAAGGTTCTGGAGTAACTTCTACTCACAAGAACCACCTCAAAGGAACCAAACTCATAACTGTTGGGTATTAGATGTTGCGTCATTGGGCTTACAATATTTAGTCCAACATGTACACGGTTTTGGGCCTGTCCAGCCGTCTCATTTATTAGGGTTTATGTGTTTATAGTGCATGCATGCACCGTAAGTAGTTAATGCTTTTGATCTTAAGTAATCTTTTGTAAACCCTAATCACGCTTCTACTGTAGAAGTTCTTTGTCGAGCTCTTATGAGGCTGTGAAGCTTGAATCATTAAGCATACATTGATTCATTGTCGTGTTCTTCTTTGCTTTCTATTTTTGAATCTTATCGATCATTAAGGATTTCATCCTAACAATTGGTATCAGAGCAGGAGACTATGTAATCTATATCCATCTCTTCTGTTAAAAGAAGCTACTAGGGTTTCCATTAATATTGGATCTTGCTTAGTCGTCATCTCCGTGTTCTTGACGCTGTGATCTCAATATTACCCAAAATTTTTACACGTCTGATTCTTAAACAGGTTACAAAGATCTTGTCAAAATGTCGCACGACGAATCGCAGATCAATTCCATCAGCAGTATTGGGTCAACAACAAGGATTCCCATTCTCTTTCCCAACGAATATGAAGTTTGGGCACTTCACTTCGAAGATTATGTTCTAGGGTTAGAAGATAATCGTTATTTGATATGGCAAGCTATCACTATTGGAGCTTTTGTTCACTCTGGAACAAAAAGGGAGATTAAAACTCAAACTGATCTCAATCGACTTCTTCTTGATGTCAAGGAAGTTCCTCAAGATGAGAAAGAAAAACTACATAGCAACATCAAAGCAATGAGAATCATCAGATTCACATTGCAGGCTGATACATTTTGTCTTGTTAGTTTGTAACGCCCCGTTCCTGGTACGTATTTAATTTATTAAATGTCTTTTATAAAGAGCTACTCGGCGAGTAGTAGCCCTAACTCGTCGAGTAGATGCCAGGTTGGACGCAGGTTTTAAGTGATCTACTCGGTGAGTCCGCGACTGGACTCGACGAGTAGGCCAGTCAGGAGGAAACCCTAACCTTTAGGGTTTGTACCCTATTTAAACGTCCTTATAGCCCCCATCCCAGCCTCCAACACCCTTAAAGCGTTCCCCCTCAAAACCCTAGCCTCCATTGGTGAGCTTGAGTGATTCTTTCTTGATTTTGAGTGTTTTGGTGTATTTTGGAGGGTAGAAGTGAAGGAAAGAGAGAAGGTGCAGAGGAGAAGAAGGAGATCCAGAAGCTAGCTTCCATTTGCTACTTCATCTGGTAATAAAGCCTCTACCTTGATCATTTTCGTAGTAGAACTTCATATATGCTTGTTTTGCCACTTTTGGGACATTTCAAGGTCCAAACTCGAGATTGGAGCTCCCTTAGGGTAGTGAGTTATAGATCTGGTCATCATTGGGCCCCAGGAGCTCAAAGTAGCTACCTTTATGCAAAGCAAGGCCTTGTTCAAAACCCTAGGTTCCCATTTCTAGCTTATTTTGGTGTTTTAGCTTCATACCTCTATGCATGCACGTAAAGTTGGCAACTTACGTGTTATATTGGCCCTTAGAAGCTCAGATCTATGAATTGGATGCACTGAAATCGATTAGAATCAACTGTTTAGTGAGGACATGCATAGGACTCGGCGAGTTGTTCTTGGACTCGGCGAGTCGGAGCGTAAATCCTCCCGATTTCTCCGATTTTGGAATTATGAGTTGAATCAGCGAGTGGAAGAGGACTCCGTGAGTTAGAACAAAGATCTGGAAGTAGAAGGACTCGGCGAGTCCACGTCTCGACTCGGCAAGTCGAGTCACGAGTTAGAGAAGTGTGAGTCCGGGGACTCGGCGAGTAGAGTCAACCAGGAAGTTGACTTTGACCAGGAAGTTGACTTTGACCAGGGAGTTGACTTTGACAAGGGGTAAAATAGTCATTTTACCCTGAGATTAGTTATCAGTATCTGATTTAGTGTTTATGGGATTTGTAGCTGGGGAGTTCCGGAGCAGCAGTCAGACAGTTTCAGATTTAGCACCTCAGCAGCCAGCGTTACGAGGTGAGTTTCCTTCCAGTAGGAACGGGTCTACGGCCACAATGTCGGCCCTGGTTAGTTCTGGACTTCGGTCCGATGCAATTTCCGGACTTCGGTCCGATGCAGTGGGCGAGGCCCAGTAGTTGCTTTATATGCTATTGTATGGTATGTGGTAGTTTGGGGGAGCTCACTAAGCGTTGTGCTTATAGTTTCAGTTTTTGGTTTCAGGTACTTCCGCTAGTAAGGGGAAGAGCTCGGGATGATGGCATGGCACACACCACAGCTTCAGTTTATCCTGGGAGTTTTATTCATACATTTTGATATGTTTTGACATCAGTTGATTTGATTAACTTATTATGACATTTTGAGACGTATGATCCATGGATTTATCTTTTAATATTTAATATTATGGTTTAGTAAAGTTTTCAAACGAAAATTTTTGGGTTGTATTTTTGGGATGTTTCATAGTTCTTGTGATACAGCCAAAGCCATATGGGACAGGCTTAAAGAGCTTTACTCAACAGATGCAGATTTGGAACACTCTACTCAAACGCTATTGCTCTCTGAATTCGGTGCTTTTGCGCAAAAGGCTGAAGAAAATCTCAGTCAAACGTTTAATCGCTACAATCATCTTTTGAGTAGGATGACAAAACATGGCATTAGACGTGAAATCACGAGCAGAAGGTAACCTTTATGAATGGGTTAGGTCTGAATGGGATGGCGGTGGTAACAACGGTGAAAGCTCACGAGCAGTCCCGAAATTACCCTTAGAAAGCTGGTAGGTATTCTGAAGTCACACGAAAGCCAGGGGACTAAAGAAGCGAAAGTTGTGTCTAGCATGGGTACATTGGCTCTGGTTACAAAGGGGAAGCAAGTTGTTGAGAATGAAGATGAGACCAATCTTTCTGATACTGAGCTCTCAAATGAAGAGTTCTGTCTAATGGTATCGAATCCCATGAGATTCGCAAAGAAGAAGTTTCCCTCGAAAAACCGAAACTGGCAGGGAAGCTACAGTTCAGAAAAAGCGAAGGGAGGAGAAAGTGAATGCTTCCAGAAGGAAGAAGAAAAGAAAGAGAAACTGCTT